AGCAGGCCTCGGGCAGGCAGGGCCTCGCCCTGCCCCCCTGTGGACGCAGGTGCCGCCGCCCCAAGCCGGCGACCGTGCGCCCCCGGAGCCCAGGGGTCAGGGCCCCAGAGGCGGGCTGCGCCCCGGGCGGTGGGCGTGGGCGTCCACACTGCAGAGCTTCACAAGCCTGGACCCAGCCCTGCGGCCCCCAGTGACCCCCACTGACCGCCACTGCCTCTTCGGGAAGCCTTCCTCGGACCGCCCCCGGGCCCAGGGTGCAGCCTGCTCCTCCAGTGACCGGCTCGGCGGACACCACCTCAGCCTGCCTGCCCGCCTGGGGGCCACCCTGCCCCCGTGTGAGGACCCCTCTGGGCGGCCCCCGCTGTCTGTGCCTGCTCACGCCGCCCAAACGGGCCTTCCCCACCCCCCGCCGGCGGACAGCGGCCGAGGGCCGGACGGCAGCCGCCATGCTGCACAGCCCTGCCCGTGCAGAGGCCAGGGCTGACGGCCCTCGGTCTCCAGACCAGCCGAGGGCTAAGGGGAGGGCGTGAGGCCCCTCCTGCGCTGCCCGCTCCACCACAGTGCCCAGGACGCAGGACCCGGAGGCTGATGACGCGGCCAGCCACCCCGCCTGGCCCTGCCCTCTGGGGGGTCAGAGTCCGCATGGCAGGGCCTCTGGGAGGCGTGGGAGTCCCGGGCCTCGGAGGGGTCCAGCACGCCCTGGGCGTGAGCGCCCTCGGGGCTGGGGCCACCTGTCGGCACCACAGACCCTGTCCCGCCCCCACCCCTGCACCCCTGGGGGCTAGGAGGGGCTGGTGGCCCTAGGGAGGGGCGAGGCCCTGTGCCCGTGGGGGCGCGGCCAGCCTGGCTGCCTGAACCCCCCTCACACCCGAGAAGCTGACGCCTGACCTGGGCCTGGCGAACTGCTCACCTCCCACGTCCCGGCACGCGGCACGGTTCTGGGGTGACCGTGGCCTCGCGCCTTCCGGCCAAACTCCCCTGGCGTCCCTCACGGAGGGGCTGACCGCCTCCAGCAGAGCCCTGCGCTCCTCGCCGGGCGCCCACCCGGACCACGCAGAGGGAGAGGCGCTGGCCCTGAGGGCCAGCAGGGAGCCGCGGC